GGGGGAGCTGGGGGGGTTCAGCCTGGAGCAGAGGGGGCTGAGGGGAGCCCTCATCGCTCCCTACAACTGCCTGAGAGGAGGCTGTAACGAGGTGGGGGTTGGCCTCTTCTCCCTGGTGACGGGCAATGGGACATGGGGAAATGGTCTGAAGTTGCGTCAGGGCAGCTTTAGGTTGGACATTTCTTCACAGAACGGGCTGTCAGGCACTGGAAGGGGCTGCCCAGGGAAGGGGTCGAGTCCCTCTTCCTGGAGGTATTTAAAAAACGGACAGACGAGGTGCTTAGGGACAGGGTTTAGTGGTGGGATGGCAGGGTTAGGTTAACGGTTGGGCTTGGTGATCTGAAAGGGCTTTTCCAACCTACACGATTCTGTGATTCTATGATCTGTTTGGGCTTTATGTGGAGGACATTTTGCACCACCTTAGCATAAAAAGGTGCCTTCACTGGGGGCAAGAAGGTATTTTCATGCTCCAAGAGCAGTGTAGAGCAGTCTTATTGCAAATGACAGTCAAGCTTTGCTGTTACATGCAGTCAAGCGGATTCTGCAATGCCCCATTTTTACACCACTTACACCCTAACTTCAGTAGCGTTACCTCTGACTTACCCTGCTCTACTCTGGTGCCAAATCTAACTCAGTGCTTTTTGCATAACGACCACCAAGACATTTTTCTGAAGAACCTTCTCATGGGGAGATGCTTTTCAACAGATTTTAAATGCATGCCTTCTCCATTCACCTGATCTAGCCGGGTAACTCACCAATTTTCTCTCTCAATTTGCCAGTTCTGGGCCTGTAATTGTTCATTTCTGTGTCACCAGTGTAACAAATCACTATACTTGGAATGCTTTACTTCTGGGTTTCAAGCCCAGTTCCTGGAGTGACAGAACAAGGTGCTGGAGACCACACGCGGATTTCTACAGGAACAAAAGTGTTACAGGAGCAACATCACGCCAATATTGGAAACTTGTATTGGCAACTGGAAGAGGCAGCTCCATGTTCTGGGAAGTGACAGAGCCAAGGTGGAAACAGAACTGAGCACCATGCAGAGTATCATGGAAGATTATAAGAAAAAGTAAGTTTAAAAGAGATGCAGGCTTCAAAACTAGGGCTAGAACTGGTCTCACCTAATTTTTGGATGGCAAAGGCTGCACAAAATGCAAGATCTCTTCTAGATGTACACATGTATGGCTTGCATCCGCAGTTGGTTTCCATGCTGAGGTTGAGCATTTAGAGGTGGTAGAGGAAGATTAGATTCACGTTCTTGCTTAAGCTGAATAACGAGAAGCGAAGTGATCTTTTTTCTTCTCCTCGCAGGTACGATGAGGAAACTCACTGGCAAACAGGTGCAGAGAATGGGTTTGTTATGCTCAGAAAGGTAAGAGCATTTCAAACCAACTCAAACACTTAAGCTGGGCTTTTAGCATGAACAGCAGCTGGAAAGAGAGGGTAAGACTGCTTCTCACTCTCCAGAGACTCTAGAGGGACCTAAAGGCCAGCTTTTGGGAAGATTTTAATTAAAAGAGTTGAATCCCACCTTAATGAGGCAGTTTTAGCTGAGCTTGTTCATTTGGGATATTTGCATACCCCAACTGGTCAAAACCTTCCCTTCTCTTCTCTGTGTCTGGTGATTTTCTGTCTTCTGCCTAAGAGGATAAGAGAGCAAAACAATTTAATAGCTTGGTAAAATTTATGTCCTTGAAAAGAGCAGCCCTAAGAGTTTGTAACCGCATCACTTGCTGGCATTAAGCAGTTTGCTCCTTCAGTTCATAAACCCTTGATGCGCTTCAGGATGCAGATTGCACCTGTGTGAACAAAGCTGAGCTGGAAGCCAAGGTGGAGTCCCTTATGCAAGAGACCCACTGAGGAGCCTTGGATGAAGTGGTAATGGCTCTTCCCTTTCTGCTCCCTTTTCCGCCGCCCCATGCCTCTTTAGGGGGCCTGTGGAGTTAGGCTCCCACCACTCATCGCCTAAGTTCATGGTGATTGTTGGTGTTTCATGTGTACACCAGTTGATCGCTCTGGATTCCAAGTAATCTCTTGCACTACATGGGCAAGATATGAAGGAATCTCTTTCCACTCGATGGTGAAGGTAGGATCCAGAGATCCCTCTTTGGGTTTTCTGCAGTGAGCCTGAAGTCGTGGTACGTGGAGCACACTGCATCTCCTTGCCTCCATACCACGGAGATCCACAGGGAAAGCACCTCCAGTGCAGATGACCGATAATCTTGCTGTCACCCCTAGGAAATCACTCGGCTCCAAGCACCCATTTTGGTCACCTCTGTTATTGTGCAAATGGACAACAGCTGAGGATGGGACATAGATGACATCATCACTGATGCCAACGCTCAAGATGACAACATTGCCAAAAAAAGCCGGGCTGATGCAGAAACCTGGTACTACAGCAGCGTGAGTCGTGACGACACGCACAAAAGTATCTATGTCCCACTTCTGCTGGGGGCCCCCGCTTGTTCAGATTTCCTAATTTGGGTTGAACAGACCTTTTAAAGGTCTGTTTTCTTCACCACCTGCTGTGTTTTCCCCACGTGTGAAACCTCCTCTCTTAATGGCTTCACACACAGAGCTGCTGCTGTGTCAATGAGCCATTCGTGTCCCCCAGTGAGAAAGGGTTTTGCCTGAAAGCTCAAGATCCGGGATTGCGGACTCAGGATCCCATTGCAGGTTTCATTACTGACTCATCTCCTCACGCTGGTATTTATTTTCATTGCATTTTCTCTCTCCTCAGTATGAGGAACTGAGAGAAACCACTGGCAAACATGACGACAACTTGCGTAATACAAAGAATGAAATTGTGGAGCTGAATCGGGTGACTCAGGGACTGACTGAAGAACGTGAAAACACCAAAGCCCAGGTAAGGATGACTCAGGGGCAATAATGTGTCAATCACCATTCCCAGGTTGTGGCTTTCCAAAACTCCCTTGTTAGAGCAAGGGAGCCATAAAGCCAGTTTTGGTGAAATACATGTCAGCTGCTCAACTTTAAGCCGTGCTGGTAATCCCAAGTACAGAGTAAAATGGTTTATTATGACTAATAACTGACCTACCATCAGCAGAGACCTGCGGTGAGAAGGCAACACATACACCAAAGTCTCAGCTGGACAGAGGGAATCATCCTAGAGTTAAAGGTTTATCTATAGAGGCTGAAAATACGACAAAGTGCAGGTGGATGAACATACAGACAGGCAGATTCAACAGTGTGAACTATTCAAAGCACATGCAAATAAGTGGCAGTAATGAAAATCTCCTACCTGCAGAGATGCAAACTGGAGGGAACCATTGCTGAAGCTGAGGAGCACAGGGAAGTGGTTACTGAAGGTGCAAAGTGCAAACTCTCTGAGCTGGAGAAGGCAAAGCAGGACATGGCACACGAGCACCAGGAGCTCATGAACGTCAGGTTGACCCTGGACATCCAGATCATGACCTACAGGAGGCTGCTGGATGGAGAGGAAAGCAGGTGGGTACTCGTATGACCCTACAAGGAAGCGATAGTCACACATCTAACCCCCCAACCACCTTTCACAGTCTGTCTGATGAGCCATCACCTCTGTGATTGCACCAAATCCCACTAAGATCCAAAGTCCCAGAGGGGTGACACTTTCCAAAGCACTTTCCAGAATTTATGGACCCAAACGCCTTACAAAGTCAAAAGCTCCTAACGCACTTGGGCACTTAGGTCTTCCCCCCAGATGGAAGACCCTGCATGAATAAAGATGATGTCTTGCGTAGCATCAGATCTCATCAAGCCAAAGGCTCAGCCACAGTCGTGCTTGGCCACCTTTGCCACCCCAGCCGAAATGATTGGGCACCTATTTACACATGGGCTAATTGAGGGGACAGAAGGAAAGCCCTTGGCCAGGACTGGCTCACACCTACACACACAGAGCCAAAGCAAAACCCTTTCCCTGCTTGGGCATGATACTGGACTCAGGAAAACTTCCTCATAGGCATGCACTGAGCAGCTGAGTCATGGTAGGTCCAAAGCACCTCCCTGGCCTGCTGGCAGCTTCCAAACCTCCCAATTATTGGCCAGTTACAGGGACACACATTAAACACAGACTTTGGTTTTTACACCTCTCCATTTTCCCCATCCCCCTAAAGTTGTGTGTAGACGGTGGCTGCCCTGTGAATATTTTTAAGTACCAGACAAATCCCTATGCCTACTACTCATAGAATCATTTAGGTTGGAAAAGATGTTTAGGGCCATCAAGACCAACCGTTAACCCAGCACTGACAAGTCCACCACGAAACCTCGTCCCTCAGCACCACATCTAGATGTCTTTTAAATACCTCCAGGGATGGGGTCTCAACCACTTCCCCAGGCAGCCTGTTCAAGTGCTTGACAACCCTTCTGGGGAAGCAATGTTTCCCAATGTCCAACCTAAACCTCCCCTGGCACAACTGGAGGCCGTTATTGCTTGTGTTATGGTTTAACCTGGCAGGCAGCTGACCACCACGAAGCTGCTCGCTCACCCCCCTGCCCCCATCAGTGGGATGGAGGCGAGAATCAGAAAAAAAAAAACAAACCCATGGGTTGAGATAAAGACAGTTTAATAAAGCAGAGGAAAGTAATAACAACAACAAAGCAGCACCAAAATGTCTCACTCACAACATGCTCAACCCAATTTGAACTATTTGGCTTAACTGAGCTAGCCTAAAACATTTGGGGTTTTTTTTGAGTCAGTTCAACAACATGACCTCTAAAGGTCCCTTCCAACCCAAACCATTATACGGTTCTATGATATTCAACTGCCTTTCCCTGTTGCATTGGAGAACCTGCAGCTTTATCACAGAATCCCAGCATGGCAGGGGTAGGCAGGGCCCTCCAGAGATCACCCAGTCCCACCCCCCTGCTCAAGCAGGCTCACCCACAGCAGGGGGCACAGGACAGCATCCAGGTGGGGGTTGAAGATCTCCAGAGAAGGAGACTCCACAGCCCCCCTGGGCAGCCTGAGCCAGGGCTCCGTCACCCTCACAGTCAAGAAGTTCTTCCTCCCATTTAACTGGAACCTCTTCTGCTTCAGGTTGTGCCCATGGCCCCTTGTCCTGGCACTGGGCACCACTGGGAAGAGTCTGGCTCCGTCCTCGTGACACCCACCCTTGAGATATTTGTAGGTGTTGTTGAGATCCCCCCTCAGCTTTCTCTTCTCCAGGCTGAACAAGCCCAGCTCCCTCAGCCTTTCCTCGTAGGGGAGATGCTCCAGTCCCCCCATCATCCTTGTTGCCCTCCCCTGGACTCTCTCCAGGAGTTCCTCATCTTCCTTGAACTGGGGAGCCTAGAACTGGACACAGTACTCCAGGTCTCCCTGCAAGCCCAGCCTCCTGCAACCCCTGTCTTCAGATCTCTGTCCAAAAGCGCTGGACAGTTGCATTTGGTGTCACCTGCCTCGTCAAAAGCAGAGAGCATTTCCTAGGATGACAACGTGGAGAGAAGAGGTGCAGCCAGAGAGCCATAAAACACAACTACAGGCTGGAGCAACAGGGTCTGACACATGAGGATTGAGGACAATCCCAAGATTAATTCTAGATCTTGTCATGTCCCCTTCCCCAAAGGATGCCCATGAGTCCTGGAGCCAAAGTGTCCAAGAGCTCCCAGATCCTTACAGCAAAGCCGGTAATTTTGGCTTGCAATTGTAACCAACCACTGAATAGGGAAGGGGAAAGAAATGCAGTAAACAAACCAAAATCATTAGTTTGAAACTTCCACCCTGCCCCTACAAAACACGCCACCCTCCCACTCAGCAACGCAGGCACCGACGCTATCCCTGTTCCTCCAAGGACCCAGACACACACGCATGCGAACAGCAAAGGCAGGAAGAGTCCAAGCCCTGACGCCGCAATGAGGGCATTCGCCCAACGTAGGAGGCGAAAGACCAAGCCTGGCCCTGCCCCAAACCAGGTGGGAACTTAACCTTCACGCTGAGGGATTAGGGGAGGAGAAGACACCAGTTTCCTGAGGATTTGGCCAGTAAGAGTGTCTGCAAAAGCTACCACGTTCCAAGCATCGGTTTCAATTCCAACTACTCAGCAACTCCCCCCCAATATATTATCAAGTTGGAAAACACTCATATCAGCAACCTGCAGAAAAGTCACTTTGAGAAATAGATGTGGCCCCACGGATGTCTCCCTGGCATTAAAAGACGTTGCCTTTTTACAGGCAGAACCAACAATACGTGGTCATTTACCACTAACCTGCCTGCAAGACCTTGGTCATTAATTGTCAGTAAATTCACAGTTATTACTGATAGCTTTTATTAAACAGCAGGTTGAATCACATTCCTTTCCAACGCTTTTACTTGCAAGCTGAGGTACCAGCAAAATGCAAAGATCTCCTTCGATACAAAAGCATTTTACATTTTCAAAGGCTCAGTCCCACTTTGTCCAACCTATAAAAAGGGGAACGTGCCATTTCCACCGTGTCTCCCGAAAACAATTCACCCAGCACAACTCCCCTAATTTTTGTTGCTATTACAGAAGACCTAAATGTGACCCTTCTGACTTAACAGCATTCTTCAAACATTTATGGGGCAAACATGCTGCTGCCTTCGCTGTTGGTAAGCACAACATATGCTAAGTAGTTTGCATTCTTTGCATCATAAACATTTTGTGGAAGTTTCATGCAGCCTCACCCCATTTTCCAGGCAAATAAAAGGAAGGTGCTCCACTGTGGTCAGAAGGAACTGCACCCTCAAATCTGCTCCCAGCACATCACCTGCACCAGTCCCTTTCCCACCAGCGACCATGTCCTGCTGCTCCTACAGCACCAGCTCCAGCCATGCCGTCAGGAATTTCAGGTTGTCCTCTGCAGCTCTTCCCAGGAGTCGATGTAGTTTCAGCGCTGCCTTGTGCCACTGGGGTGGTGGCATGGGCTACTGTGGTTTGGGTTATTTCAGCAGCAGAAGTCTTCATGGTGTGGCATCCTCCAGGTCTGGAATACCTGTTGAAAGATGTCCTCCTCCAAGATGTGGATATGGCTTTGGTGCAGCTGGCACGGGGTTCGGCTACAGAGGCGCTGGCTTTGGCTACGTGGTTTGTGGAGTCTCCAGGCCGTGCACCATCACACCCATTACCATCAACGAGCAACTGCTCCAACCACTCAGACTGGAACTCGATCCCAACATGCAAATGGTGAAGGACCAAGAGAAGGAGCAGATCAAGACCCTCAACAACAAATTTGCTTCTTTCATTGACAAGGTGAGCTGGGAACACCTCCTCAGCTCCTGTTTGCAGGCACTAGAGTCCAAGTGAGGTGTCTAGCACAGAAGGGGCATGAAAACCTTGTAAGACAACTCATTTTAGACATTGAGGGCAAGATGCATAAGGGTGCCAGTGGAGCACCAAAGAGCCACTGGAGAAGCTTCAGTGTACAGGCACTAGCGATCCAATTTCTAGGCCTGACTGCAGGGAGGAAACAAGCTAAAACCGGTTTCATCAGCATTCCAGTTCCTTCCCATTCCTCTCTGCACATCCCCAAATTATTGCAAATCTCTCCTTTCTAGAAATGCTTCGATTTTTGTGCATTTCCACGTGGGTCACCCAGAAACAGCCTATGCACAAAACCACCCTGGATTAGGAAAGGCTGTATTCACACTTACCAAGAGCAGGGGCACACATTTCACTGCTGTTGCATGGACACTGGCTCTCGCAAGCCCTTAATTCTCATCTTGTTTCCTATTTTGCTTTCTGGGCTTCAGGTTCAATTCCTGGAAAAGCAGAACAAGGTGCTGGAGACCAAGTGGAGCTTTCTGCAGGGTCACAAACACGGCAAGAATACCATCGTGCCCGTGTTAGAGGCTTATATTGGTAACTTGAAGAAGCAGATGGAAGCACTGGGGTACAACAGAGCGCAGTTAGAAACAGACCTGAAAGCAGCACAGCAGGTTTTGGAAACCAACAAGAAAACGTAAGTAAAAACCAGAGACATGTGAGTGCAGGGCTTAAAATGTTCAAGATCTGGAAACAGGCAAAGACTGAACTTTTTGTGGCAGTAAACAGTTCCCAGAGAACTAGAAGGTAGATGGAAAGATCTACCAGGACCTCAGTATATAAAATAAGGTCCCAATTTACAGAGAGATGGAGGAAAGGGGATGTTCCTCTTCCAGGTCCTCCTTCTCTCCTCCCTAATTCAAGGAATTAACATTTAGAAACATTGCAGCTATTTGCTGTGGAGGTCAAGTGAAAACAGTTCTGCTGCAAATTTGTAAGGATGCAGAAACCTCTCTGAAAACATGTTTGCTTTCCCATGGGCTATGAAACAAGACCAAAGCATCCCAAAACACTGGGGAGAGGGAAAAAAAAAATAAATCAGGAGTTTCACTTCTTGAAAGGCGGCCAGCAGAAACCCAAACAAAGATGTAATTGTGCCATTTTCCCACACAGGTACAAGGACGAATGCAGCCAGCGGACATGCAGCGAGAGTGAGTTTAATGCCCTAAAGAAGGTGAGCAAGGGGCTGTTTGAACTGTCCTCTCCAGGTTCAGGTCTTTGGGGTGCATGCGGTGATTTATTTCCCAAAAGCGGCACCCACAACAAGTACAAGCAGGAGCTGGTGCTTGAGTTTGCTTGAACTCAAATCAACAGCAACTGTGTAATTGGGAGCTGGCGCACGGTCATGGTACCAGCACTGAAAGTCCTTCACCCCAAGGGTAGCCCTGAGTCCGCTCTCGCTAACAAACTTCCTTCTACCCCCAACGCGTCTCCAGGACGTGGACTGTTTTTTCTTAAACAAAGCAGAGCTGGAGGCCAAGGTGGAAAGCCTGAAAGAAGAGGCTGAATTCCTGAGAATGTTCTACCAACTGGTAAGAAGCCTCCCTATTGCTCCACCCGTCATTTGCATTTCCCAGCTGGATTTTGAAGTTGCTTATCCCAAAGGACAGGGGAAGAGGGGGTAATGCAGGGTGGTCGTCACCTGTGGTGAATGGTGAGACTCGGCAATTCATCTCTGCTTGGTCACTCCAAAGGGGGACAGAGTTGCACGATGTGGCTGACACATCAGCTCGGGGCTGGCCTCGGAGCGCAGCGGGACCAGCACCTCTCTGAACAGCTCAACCCCATGTCACCACCAGGAAATCCACCAGTTAAGGGCCCAAATCTCAGATACTTCGGTGGTCGTGCAGATGGACAATAGCCGAGATCTCAACTTGGATGACATCATTGCAGATGTCAAGGCTCAGTACAAGGACATTGCCCGCCGGAGCCGGGCAGAAGCGGAGGCCTGGTATGAAAGCAAGGTGAGAAAACCCAGCAGAGGGAGGCTTTGGGTGCAGTTTCTCTCTTCAGACCAACTTCAGACCCAGAGAAACACCCCCTACTCTCCCAATTTCCTCCTATTTAACTCAAAGCATGTATTTTGGGGATATGCAATGAAGTCTTTTGGGCTTTTCTAGTTTAAGGAGCTGCGAGTCACTGCAGGCAGAAACGCTGACAGCCTGCGAGAGGCAAAACCCAAGATAGCTGAGCTGACATGGATAGTCCAGAGACTGAACGGAGAAGTGAGGAGCACCAAGGACCAGGTGAGCACAGCCAGGTCTGGCTGTTTCAGCAGGGCAGAGGGGGAACTGCTGTTCCTGCGAGCTCCTGCAACTAAATCAAATGCTGCTGTAGCACCTTGCAAAGGGTGTTCATGGGCTGCGATCCTGCTGCTCCAACCAGGGCTGCATTAAAGCCCAACTCATGCAGTACCTGAAGTCAGATGCAGTCACATCATCCCATCCCCTGCAAGCAACACGAGGGAGCACCGACACTGCACGTCTAGCTCCCTCAAATTCCTGCCAGAGGGGACTCTGTGTCCACCTTACTGCTGGGCTGAATGCACAATCAGACTTTAAACCCACCTCTTGATAATGTTCCTAGAAAGAGTCCAGAGGAGGGCAACTAGGATGATAAAGGGACTGGAGCACCTCCCCTACGAGGAAAGGCTGAGAGAGTTGGGCTTGTTCAGCCTGAAGAAGAGAAGACTGAGAGGGGACCTTATCAACACATACAAATATCTGAAGGGCGGAAGTCACGAGGATGGAAGCAGTCTGTTTGCAGTGGTGTCCAGCGACAGGACTAGGGGCAATGGGTGCAAACTGAAACATAAGAGGTTTCAGTTGAATATGCGGAAGAATTTCTTTACTTTGAGGGTGACAGAGCACTGGAACAGGCTGCCCAGGGAGGTTGTGGAGTCTCCTTCTCTGGAGATATTCAAAGCCCGCCTGGATGAAGTCCTGTGTAGATTGCTCTAGGAGAGCCTGCTCTAGCAGGGGGGTTGGACTAGATGATCTCCCGAGGTCCCTTCCAACCCTTGCGATTCTGTGATTCTGTGATTACGTTTGAAGATAGCAAGAGACAGCACAGACTGACCGTGTCCCGCTTCTTGCAGCGCTGCAAGCTGGAAGCCGCTGTGGCAGATGCTGGGCAGCGTGGGGAAACGGCTGTCAAGGATGCAAAGCACAAACTCTCCGAGCTGGAGACAGCCCTGAAGCAGACCAAGGCAGACCTCACTCAGCAGCTCAACAAGTACCAGGAGCTCATGAACATCAAGCTGGCCCTGGACATCGAGATCGTCACCTATAGGAAGCTGCTGGAAGGAGAGGAGAGCAGGTGAGTGACAGACCCCAGCAGGGCTGCACAAGCTACTTTAGATGCACGTGTTGAAGGAAAAACAACTGGCCAGTGCTGCAAGGCATCTGGGCAGTCCTGGCGCAGGTCAGCTCTTTCCATCAGTCGTAACAGACCTCCACCAGTGCAAACCCACCCGAACAGCCAGTCCTACTGCCTCCAAACAGCGAGAGACAGGCTAGAGAGGATCAGGCTCACATTTGAGGCTAAAGGCCTTTGCATCTGAAGGCAGATTGATAATGTGCAACCTTTTCCCATCCTCTACAGGCTCTGTGCAAAAGGTGGCTTCCCTATCAACATCCGTAAGTTGGAGCGTTCACCTTCTACCAAACTCCGGCATCTTCTGCCTTTTCTCCAGGGAATTCCCTAAGCTGAAACTCAGCTTTGCTCTGCCTTTTGCAGCTGTCTGCCATTTTCAGGGAGGTCTCACCTATGGTCCAGAGCCTGGCTTTGCAAACACCCACCCATCAGCCAAAAGAAACGCACGGTGGACCAGCAGCATGGGGGTCTGCGGCACGGTGGTGAGCTGCAGCGATGGTGCTAGCAGCAGGGGCACGAGGAGCTCCCGCATGAAGGTGGTGTCCGTGACCAAGTCAGCCAAGAGCAACATGTAAAGAGCTGTAGATAAATTGGAAGGCTGGAAACAAAACACCACTTTGAAAGCAAACCTGCCCACCAGCACAGGAAGCCTTTCTGCCACCATACAGCAACAGCCAGGCCAGAGCTGGATCATGTGCACCCGGCTCCTCCAGGCTCCACACCCATTTTCCATGCACGGGGACACAAAAAGCAAAGGGGGCTTTTCCATGGTCAAGAGTTTTGCTATTTCTGCTAGGTAATCCAGGAGCAAGAAAGGCCAAAATCCCCCTCATTGCTCCCATTATGCAGTTAAAACAAGATGCCTTTGGTGTCATGCCCTGGTCTTTCCACTCCTACAGATTCAAGGATTAAAATGAAGTGCGAGAGAGGGCACCTTCCACCTATGAGCATTTTCATTAGAGCTTTACCCAGCCCAGTGTCTTAGCAGCTCCCACCCTGGATCAACCTAGCTTTACCAGCCAGCCTTTTAGACTACGCATACAGTCCTGGCACGAGTAGAACTCATCCGAAATTGCCTACGCTTGCAGACAAATTGCATTTATTTCATTGATTATTTGCCCCAAAGGACAGATCTCAAGGGCTGTTGCTGTGTGAAGGTGGTTTGCTTATGCACTTGCATTACCTGTTTTGAAATTGATCCTCAACTTCCTTTTTCTTCCTGGGGTTTTAACGGTCTGGCTCATCTGTTGCCATAAATGCCATCATAACTGAAGAGTCTGGGGGCCAGAGTCCACTATCAGGTATGAAAGGGACTGATCCATCGACGTATCTGGCCCTAGGACACAACGCTCCTCTGTGATCTTGTTCAAGGGATCGAAACCCAACTTTAAATGCATGGGACCAGCATCAGTTACCTTCCCAGCTGTCAAGTAGCTAAGCAGGCTGAACTGCTAGTGTAAGTACATTAACCCTATCTGGGAAGAAAAAGAGGAAGCAGGGATTTATTTCTAATGACCTTATATTTTGTCAGCAGCTTCCACCCTGGTTTTAGTTTTGCATCTCCAATAAATCGACATAGCAACTCAGTTACCTTCATTTGACACCTTCATTTGGGGAAAGGAGGGTTAATTCTTGTCTTGGCTCTGGGATCTCAACACCAAAGCTTACAGGGGTCTAAACCAGGCACAGGCCAAGCCCTCCACCCGCTGGGAGCTCTTCCATCCCAGACACCGCACCTCAGTGCTCTCCCATAACCCCCAACACATCTGTTCTCCACGGACACGAGCAGCTAGGCAAGCAGAGGGGTTATAACCTCGCTCTGAAGCACCACTGAGTTGGAATTACAGCTCTCTTCTTCCTCACACCTGCACACAAGGAGCAGGATCCATTCCACCCAGTGCTGAGTGGTTACGGCCCAGCTGGCTGCCAGCAAGGCACGAGAAGCAGGTGCTTCCCAGGTTCCATGTCTTCATTAGGACAGGGTGGAGCCCCAAATGATTTTTTCCCCCCAGGAAAAACAAACAAACAAAAACTTTGAGAGGGCACTGACTAAGCAGAGATGCTGGAGCAATTTGCATAAAGCTAACTGAAACTTTTTATTACTATCATTGATTGCAGGGCCGGCTGGGACAGGACACGGGGGGATGGTTTGAAACTGAAGCAGGGGAGGTTTAGGCTGGATCTAAGGAAGAAATTCTTTAGCGGGAGGGTGGTGAAACCCTGGCAGGGGTTGCCCAGAGAGGGGGTGGAGGCCCCATCCCTGGGAACCTCCAAGGCCAGGTTGGATGGGGCTGTGAGCAACCTGGTCTGGTTAAAGGTGCCCCTGCTCCTGCGGGGGGGTTGGGCTGGGTGACCTCTGGGGGTCCCTTCCCATCCAAACCATTCCATGATTGCTAAATCCCTTAAAGCCATGACTGATTGTCTCAAGTTGCCTGGGAACTCCTCAAAGCCACCTGTCAGGAGCCGCTGGAGGGTTTTACATCCCTTTGTCCTTCTTCTCATCCTGGCACCAGACCAGGTCCTGCTCAGCTCTCCAACAGGGCACAGCTTCGTTGCAGCCACCCCCTAGGCAAAGCAGACCCAGCTCCCAGCCCATGCTACGTTCCTCTTCCCAGGCTGTGGCTGCTCTCCTGCAGGAGCACAAAGCACCCCCATCACCAGCAAGAGGCCAGTGGACCTCTTTTCTTCTCTGCTGTATGGGGTGTTGCCCCTTATAACCTCATCAAGCCAATTAGGCTTCCCATCAAGCTAATTCAGCTTCCCAGGTGGAAGCATTCCCAGGGTAGGAGCTGTCTCCCTCCAGCCTTGCTCCTCCCTGCCCAGTGGGTGCTAGGGACTCAGCCCAGCCCATTGCTGGTTTCATGCCATTTAATTCCTTTTAAACACAAGATGAAGATGAAAACCAAAATCAACCTCAGAGCAGGGGTTTGGCCTTAGTAGCTACTGAAAACCTGATGGAAACTGAAGCAAATGCAGCTTAAACACCAGGGAACTGAAGAAAGTTCCCTGCCACCTGTAGCGTTCTTCTCAGGCCTGGTGGCATCCAAGACCTCACCCTTCCCCTGCCTCGGGTTCCCTACAGA